GTCTTCGTCTTCGTCTTCGTCTTCGTCGTCGTCGTCGTCGTGGTCGTTGTTGTTGTCGTCGTTGTTGTTGTCGTCGTCGTTGTCGTCGTCGCTGTCCTAGTCACAGTAGTGATCGTAATTGTTGTTACCGTTGTCGTCGACTTTATCGTTGTTCATCTCACTTTTTCGTTCACAAGCATGCGCGCTTTATCTCGCTCTCAAATAGCCGTGGCGGCGTCCTCGTCGCGCGGTGCCGTAGACCGGGACCCGCGAGTGAGACAGCAGCTCCATAGAAAGGCGCAGGCTTCCGCACACGCGTGTGTACACGTCCACGCCGGCCTTTCCGACGGATAATAACCGCGGCCTCGCTTCCCCCCTCGTCATCCCCCCGCCCCTCCCACCAATTCCTCTCCGCGCTCGCTCTGTCTCAGTCTCTATCTCCCGTCTACTCTCGGGCTCCGTTTCTCTTTTACGCACGCGTTTTCCTTTTCGCTAATCCGTGCGCCCCGCCGCCTTCCTGAGCATTGTCAGCACCGCCCATCGACGACGCTCGGCAATGCTGCGACCAGATGGCGCCAAGGGTGCCAAGTGTCCGAGATCATCATCGCGGTAAATACGAAGCTCCGTGAAAGGGAAGCCACCAATCGTCCTCTAAGCACACCTTACCTTTACAAATTTTGAATGTTGCATTTGGGAAGACAACGTCATCGGGATTGTCGTGCAATCTTCACGACATATTGTGGGGATCCGCGTTTGCACCCGCGTGTTCGCACATTGTGCCCTGCTTGTGGAATTAATGGGGTGTCGAAAACACGTGCTACCCAAGTTAATTTATCATAAACAATTTTCCTTCCTTAATTTTGATTGCAATATCATTTATGAAGAATGATAGGAGCGTTAGCTATAGAAAGAAGAAAGAAAGTTTTGTTCGAAAGAAGGCGATGTTCAGCCAAAGCTGTACAGTAAAAGCAGACATTTCGAAATATAAATTCAATTCATTCGAATATATATACATATAAATGTATAAATAAGCAGATGTATATATATATATATATATATATATATATATAGGCACTTTCAATCTTATTTAAAAATTAACTATGAGCCTTTTATAATATTTGTAAGTATTGTTATTTAATGAAATAACAAAAAAAAAAAAAAATCTTTAATCGAACAAATTAAAAAGCTTCGAGAAACTTTATAGAAAAAGTTGAAACTTACGTATTCTATAGAACATACATCATGAATGCATCTATAAGTTCGTAAAGAATTGGTAAATAGATGTAAATGAATTCGTGGAAGGAGATAGTTGAAAACATATAATAAAAGCTCTTATACAATTTCTGTAATAATTGTATGCTTGTGTACCATGGTAAAAGAACAATTCACATAATTTTTAAAACAAATGATTATCCAGGATAATTGTTGAAGAATCAATTTATAAATATTTCTTATACAATCCAATGTTCTAATTTCAATTTCTTAAGTCTACCAATAAACTTCAAACATTAATTATATACATATATTTATGAGAAATTTTGAAAATAATACTTTACAAGAAAAATATTTATGAAATAAAAAAATTAAGATTCTTTCAAAAAAATACTTGGAGACATAATTCACGTCTGTCGAATAAAAATCGAAACAAATTACGCACTACGTATTCAAAATCAATGCAAATAATTTAATAATTTGTAAAGCAAATAAAAAATCAGATATTGATACGCAGTTGCCAAAGCTCAGATTAAAAGAGAACGAGAATCGTATACAGCTAAACGGAATAACGAATGTGAAAACAAATAGACTAAAAAAAGAAATCGAAACGGATCAAGTACTATACAAAACTGTCTACTCACTTTGAAACGAAAATAAATCTTATAGCCCTAGGCAAATTAACAATCATCAATATTATTTTACTAATCTTCCTCAAATAAATAACGAGTTGAACTTTTTAAGATTTCGTATTGAAAAGAAATCTTTATATTATATTTTGAACAACGTAACAACGAAACATTAAATGCTACTACACGGCTTTGTATTACAGTATTGTTAAAAATATTTATTTGACACATTATAGAAATGTAATGCGATAGGCAAATCTATTTTAATATTAAATATGAAATATAAGCACTCTATTGGATTTTTTCGAACATCTAAATAAATAAAAGAAAAATAATAAATCAATAAATATTAAGAAACCTTATTTTATTAAAGAAAATAATGTTATACCAGACGGTAATAATACTTTTCGTATATTTAATCTTTATATTGAATAATTAAATTAAATTGTCGT